CGAAATTCTTTGAAAGTTTTCTGGTATTATTTTGCAAGCGAAGAAATGCTATTTGAATCCATCATTTACATATGGAGTGTCTTCAATCGATCAGTTTTTGTTGAATCATCGGTCACATCTTGATTCTGTGTAAGAACTTCTGTAGTAGGAGAGTCATATTTCCAATACTGCTACCAGTAAGTGATAAGTGATGGAACTCACCATGCAAAAATAAATAACTAATGGATCAACTAACAATTTTTCTATACTGAACAGAAAGTTTTTTTTTTATCATGAAAACATTTACTATTACCGTATTAGACTGTTTGAGCAGTGCATGGTTACTTATACTCTAACTCAACTGCTCTCGTCTTACACCGTTTATTGATCCAAGAAATCTCGATCATTGCAGCCTTTGACAGAATTTTTTGATCATCGTAGCCTAATCAAGAAACTCTGAAAGATTTCATAGTAATTTCACAAGATTACATATTAGAAAAAATAATAATAATTACCCAGTACTGATGAGTATGTTGCAGAATTGCAATCAGTAACTGTTCTCAAATCGGCTCGATTCAGTCAGTCGCTAAGCAGTCCTGCGAGATTTTTCGAACAGCAAAAACCGGTAAAAACAGTCTGCTTACAAAAAGAAGAACTTTCAGATTTATTGAAATAGACTCAAAAAACTGGCCAAATAAAATACGTCAAACGCTTTATCCAAGCGATTATAACTTTCATAAGTGAAGTATGGATATCGTTGTGAGGTTGAGAGTAATCGATTTAACTTATGTAGCTGTCTGATTGGCCTTGCTCACAACAGATATGACTGTCCAAATAATTTTTATGAGGAAATTATAGAATGCTATTTGGATGAGGTTGTTTCTTTTCACATCAATGTATCATTTGTTCAAGAAAGACCGTTAGAACTATTCTTAAACAATATAGATAGATAATTTATAGATAGGGAAAAGTTCATTGGGTTCTGATTCGTGGTCCAATAATGACATCTTGCTTCGTCGATCACGAATAGCTCCAAGCGACATATCTCCGACTGATATTAATATTGGAAATGATGCTCTACGAGGAATTAAGTAAGCAAGAAGGCGAACATCAAAAGCTATTTAACATATATCAGTCCTTCATTGTCGTCTTTTCACATTTAGCCGGAAAAAACGCAACAAATTTTTGGGCTGTTCTCCTGCTTGGTTTATATGTGCATGTTGTATATGCCTCGCTTTGGTAATATCTGCCATTGTTGCGGCTCTTATTTTGACTTCACGTGAGTATTTTTCTTATTATTTCGTTTCAAGAACTAGCTTCAAGAACATGAAAGGTTTGTCAATAGTTATATATCAGACTTGAATTTTTTGACGTGAAATATCTCCACGAGACGATGTTTTATGGTAACATAAATGAAGCAAGAATCCTCTTGAGAAGAGATAGCTCAACATCGAAATTTTGTTGTCACCTTTGAAAAAATTTCTTTTAAAATTTTGCAACTATCTTTCAAGACTTTGATGAAGAAAGGTATAATATTTAGTCTACGCTTGTTTGCATCAAGGTTTTAAACACTATAGTTAGTTTTATCTTAGTTTATTCAAACAAAAAACTTAAGATAATTCGGAACAATAGCTTCGTTTTGTCAAGTGATATAAATTGACTTAAGTTATGTTAGATCAAGATTGAAATTTTTTCAGGATCGATTCATCCAGCAAAAGCTTCAAAACCATTTTCGTATGTTTCAGGTAAAGCTGATTGAGCTCTATCGGCTGTTGAAAACCGTTTCTTGATATATCTTATACAAGAGAAGGTATTCAAGTGTGACGCGCTGTTTTGAATCGGATATATAGCAATTTGTAGAGCTCGATAAGCTAATTCTTATGGTATAAAGCGTTCTTCCTCATGCAACTTTTAACTAGACAAAATCAATCAATTCTACTCGTGGTGGATTATATTTGAGACACCAAGCACTGAAGTTTTACATGCATTAGTATGTGTAAGATGAAGCTTCATCATCGACCTTTTTACTTTGACTGTACATTATTACTTGATAGACTAAAACTTGTCCAACAATGTCTTAATCTGAATGTTACAATGTTGCTATCATTAAACATATGCATCATCTATGTATTATGCTATGATAGACATCAATAATTCTGAGAGAACATTATTTAACACACCTACAGTTTAAGCGTTACTGACTGTTATGGTCTGAGTATGCGAATATCGATCTGTTTATTCTTTTGCATGCTTTACTCCGAGAAATCCAGCATAGAATAAATGACAGCTGTAAAGAATAAGCATGCCCGACGCTTTTCATAACATAATACGTAAACAATGCATATGTTTAATGATAGCAACATTGTAACATTCAGATTAAGACATTGTTGGACAAGTTTTAGTCTATCAAGTAACAATGTACAGTCAAAGTAAGAAGTTCGATGATGAAGCTTCATCTTTTACACGCTAATGCATGTAAAACTTCAATGTTCAGTGTCTCAAATATAGTCCTCTACGAGTAGAATTGATTGATTTAGTCTATTGTACGCTTCAAAATATAATGTGCTCTACTGTTTTTTGAATAACTCAAGAATGCTAATAGCTGGAGATCTTCAGTTTTCATCAATCGAAAGAGGAGACAGGGGGACATCTTTTTCTCCAATACTATGTAAGACGAAGTCATTTTAAAATCAGTCATTTTTGCGAAACATTGAGAATACGTATAAAAAATAGTCTGTTATTCAGATGAAATTTTGATAAAAAGTAAGACAATTCGCCTAAATAATAAAAGAAATCTATAGTTTTCGTGCAAGTAAATAAACGATGTTATTTGTTCAACACTAGAATGCAGGAAGATAATCATATGAAGTATATGTTGAACTATAGATCTAATGTCTCTCTATGTAGATCACATGTCAAGACCAAAATTTCATCCGAATGACAGATCGTTTTCATGCATTTTTTCTAATGTTTTGCAAAAATGATTGATTTTAAAATGATTTTGTCTTATACAATATTAGAAAAAAGGCCTCTCCCTGTCTCCTCTTTCGATTGGTGAAAACCACAGATCTCTAGCTGTTTGCATTCTTGAATTATTCAAAAAACAGTGGAAGACATTATATTTTGAAACGGACAGTAGAACCTAGACCTAACGTAATCTACGTTACAGATCGTGGGTTTTTTCACTGATTCATAAAATTAGAAGTCTCTGTACGATGAGTCTAAAGAACTGTTTGAAAGCTATAGTTCTTTGGTCTCAAACTCAGGCTAAGGAAGAGATTGTTTGATCACGTCTCTTACCAATGATTTCTCATTGTTTAATCACCATACTTGGATATTCGATACAGGACACTCTAAGGTATGTAAAGATATAATACGAGTAACAGATCATTGAATTAAATGTATGAAAAGGTTAAAAGAAAATGTGTAAGAAAAAAGTGTGATATAATTTTTTCAAGTTTTCAAATTTATATATTTTATATAAATAACAACTGATTTATACAAAAAAAAGTAACATTCTAAATGTCTATCAAGTATTCATTTAATGAAAATTATTCAATGTTGTCATCTACTTCTATATTAATAACATCAATTTCATCATCATCATCTTCTTCTTCATAGGCTCCTTCGTAATCGTTCCCATTCTTTATATTATTTATAGATCCTTCTAAAAGAGGTTCATTATTAATAAGCATATCACAATATTTATGAGCATGTACAATCATTTTTCTGATCATTTCTGTCTATATTCCTTGATGTTTACCTCCATCACCATAGAAACCTATCTTTATATCATTTATCCATTGTCTCAGTTGAGCTTTATATCTCGATATTTCTTGTCGACGTGCAGCTCATTGTCTTCTTTTATTTGCCATCATCTGAATTGATCATGATAATGTTTTTCTTTTACGGCCAGCACCATGACGAAAATCATTACGACGAGAATCACCTTCCTGACCGAAATCACCACCATCATTGTCCGGGTCAATGTCCATTTTTATTATAATTAAGCAATTAACAACAATTAATTAAATCGCTATTGACAAATGATAGTTACTTTGTATAAGTAAATATTCAATCAAGAAAAAGATCATAAACGCATAACAATGATATGAAAAGATCAAAATATACTATAAGTGTCACTTATACATAAAATGAGTTATTATTTCTCTTTGTCAATAGCAGTCGCTTTTTAAAATAGTGTTAATTGTAGCGCATCATCACTTCTATACGATCATAGCCATAATATATAATAAATATCTTTTATTGCATATGAAAAATAGAAAAGATCAAAAAATACCAAAAGTGAAAAAAAAATCAAAGTTTCAATCTGAATTTGAGACCAAAGGACTATAAGTATTTTTTATAAAAAAAAACACAAAACTGACTATTCGAGTTCATACGGATATTTTCGATAGTTCTTTTTTATTGTGATCAATCGCGGGAAATGGATATGGCCCTATCGACAAGAAAGTATAGCAGCATCCATCAGTAAAAGTAAAAACGAGCTATACCGTCGAATCTACTAAAGCGATCCAGACATATATAGAGTGACAAAAAATTTGTATTCAGTTCTTCTCATGAAAATTCATCTATTTGAAAGAACTAGGGGAGAAAACCTTTACTTGTTATGTTAAAATAATAGAACTATTGGGTTAATCAATCTTTCTAAGTATGAGAAAGACAAAAAAAAACAAATCATTTCGCTCTACGGTATGAACATGGAAAGAAGTCGTCCATCATCCCTTCTACCAAAGTTCCTAATAGACAATTTCACTTTTTTAACAAACTAGAAGTATTCCGATACAAATGCATCAAAAACCCTTTTCTATAGTGAAGGTGAGACGAGTGGCTCAGAAACAACAATATATAAGAAACCTTATTCTTGCTACCAATATTCGCATTGTTGCGAATATATTTGTCTAATAGCTCAAATCCTCCTGACATTAAAGCAGAAATATCCTGATTTAGAAGTAAGAATATTCTTCTTGTATACTTAAGGTCCCACGAGTACCACAACAATGACAACAACAACAGCAACCAGCGCGACGACAACAACTGCAACGACAACGACAACGACAACAGCGACAACGACAACATCAACAACAACTACAACAACGACAACAACAACAACGACAACAACGACAACGACAACATCAACAACAACTACAACAACAACGACAACAACAACAACGACAACGACAACATCAACAACGACAACATCAACAACAACGACATCAACAACAACAACTACAACGACATCAACAACAACAACTACAACGACATCAACAACAACAACTACAACAACATCAACAACAACGACATCAACAACAACAACTACAACGACATCAACAACAACAACTACAACGACATCAACAACAACAAGTACAACAACAACAACGACAACGACAACAACAACGACATCAACAACGACATCAACAACAACGACATCAACAACGACAACGACAACAACAACAACGACAACGACAACAACGACAACAACAACTACAACAAGAACAACAACAACATCAGCAACAACGACAACAACAACATCAGTAACCACAACAACAGCAAGTAGGTCCATGTGTTCAAGGTTTTAATAACTGAGTTCGCGAGCAAACATTTTATGTATCGGGAAGGATCATTTTTTCTGTGAAAGTTACTGTCAGAATCGCATATCTCACTATTAGAATCGGCTTTTCCAGGAGTTGACATGTTCTGTGGATTGTATTTTTCAAAGTTTGTTAGAAAATGTTTTCCAGGAAGATCTTTTAGTATACTGAATCAGTTTCACTATTTTCATGTTTCTGAATTATCTAAATATGGTTTTTCTCCAGTCATACTCAGTTGAATTGTCCTCATCGCATAATATCGGGCAATATTAGAAGTTTTTTTTTTTTAAGCTTAAGATATGAGACAGGAAGAAAAAGTTCCGTTGAGATCTGACAGAGTGTGAGAATATAGAGGCTTTTGGCACATACTTCCATTTTTGTTTTGTAATGGGTGTAAGAGAGTGTGGGTATGTTTTCAAAGACTACACCCACACCCCTAGAAACGATTCAGTCAATAGTAATAATTAAAGACACTTAAGTCCAAGAATGAAACACTATACCAAAACAAATGTCTTTTCTCTCTCTTACTTGGTAGTGGTGTAGTCAGAAAATTTTTGCAGAGAAGCTCGGCTTTCAGTTTTGTGAATTTTGAGTATAAGTGACTTAATTTCTTCTCGAACCATTCAATGAAAGCAATAAAGAAGTTTAAATATACATGATGAGACTGCCATAATTTTCGTGAATTGCTCTTGATTTCAATGTATCTGTTCTATATGACTTCTTTCTAATATATGTATCATATTACGTTGTAATTATTCTCTTTTTGACAAACTGCATAGTCCTTGCTGCTAAAATGTGACTGTGACTTCTCAGATGTTAATCGAAGCCTTTCGATTTATCAGATGCTTCTTTCCAATTTTTATTCGATGATGATCTTAGTACACTGAAATATCGGTAATGATAGTAGTAACTACTATATTTTTCAAGTCAGTATTCTAATAGTGTACGTCCATCAGCCATTTTGCTAAAAACGATCGGTTTTCGTGCTTTCTTAGATCGAAACTCCGCTTAGGTTGAGTAGATAGGTCTTCGAATGAATATTAATATCAATAATACTAGAAGATATTCCATTAATTGTCCTTTCTTCAAGTTGTACGTTTTTCTCGTTTAGTGTTAATATTTTGAGATGACTTCATTACAGAAGTTTCAAAAGGGTCATCATTAGCAAAAGACGATGCATATGAATCAAACAATTCTAAAAGAATATTTTCATCGATACTATCATCATTGTTTGAATGAACTGACTTACTCTTCTTTTGAGCAGATGGACAAAAATAAGAATCAAGAGTTTTTCTTTTGTTATTTTCCATAAATCAACATCCTGTGTTGTCTTTAAGGTTGTAATATTGTGATTTAAAATGCGCGTATAAAACGATTAAGAGTTTAAGAGGTCTTATCAAATTAACCATATTTTTGTGTATGCATTTTTGTGGAGATATTGCCTTCTCTGGTTTTATACTAATTAATACATTCTTGTTTATTAGAGGTGTCGAAAAGTTAAGGATGTGAGTGTGGATGTAAGCAAAGAGAATACTCACACCCACACCCACACACCTCGTAGGAGGGAGAAAAGTTAAGCCTTCTCTAGCCCCTCTCTGAATACGCCACAACTACTTGGAAGTCAAAGTCAGAGTAACTCTAAGCTGGGAATAACGAACTTCGGACTCTAAATTCAGTATTTCAACCTGATTTTCATGCAACAAGATATATTCCCACTCATTTCAGTTAATAGACAAAATAATTTAAAAGTATTGATTTTCGAATTTTAAACCTAGCCTATATTGTATCTTGAGCTGGTAAGAACTTTCTCTAAAATAATTGTGAAAGAAACTGAAGTTTACTTACCAACCCGTTACAATGATACTATGCGAAACATGAAGTTTTAAGCTTCACTATAACTCAATCTATTCATTTAGCCACTGCTACGACAACAACCACGGCACCGCCAAATAACATACTGTCATGTACAATGTTTACTTTCGTTCATCGGTTTACATTGAATGACTATTTCAAACTATTTCGAATATTTGAATAGAATCTTTGTTCTAATTGCTCATGCATTATGTCATCATTATGTAAAACAACAACTGTGTTAGTTTTATATCGTCGCTCATGTAATTGAATCGATGTTTACTTTAAAATGCTCAGGTATCATTATATCATTCATCAAAAGATCTACGATTTGAAATTCACAGTACATTAGCAGATATCTGAACGGATTAGTACTTGTGATTATTATTATTCCTCGTTATTGTTCAGTGCATTTCTAGACATATCCCATTACTTTGATACAACCAATACACGAACAGAGCTCTTGTGGTGACTATTTAGTTATTACCTTTTCGGTGATACTATTTGTCATTCGAATGAATTATTGAAACAAAGCAAGATAGTCGGACAGAATCTTTTGGTTTAGCTCAATTCATTTGTCAAGACCCCTTTCCCGATTTATTCAAGGGGCATACTTCTTTTCTAAATTAGTGATATTCTTGAACGCAATCTTAGTCATAATAATTCATTTATCAAAACGATTCTCCTGATGTGATCGAAAGCCATACTTTACTTCGAAATGAGTGATACACTTGAATAGAACCCTTATTATACTAAATCATTTGTCAAGAGGTCTTTGGTGATGTGATCTAATGACATACTTCTCTTTGAAATGAGCGATGCAATTGAATGAAATCTTTCTTATAAGGATTTATTTATCAAGAGACCTTTAGTGAAGTCATCGAGTGCTATACTTTACTTCGAGATGAGCGATATAATTGAATGGGATCCTACTCAAAGCGATTCACTGGTCAAGAAACCTTTGTTGATGTGATTGGGTGGCAGATTTCGCTACGAAGTTGCCGATATACTTGAATGGAACCCTAGTCATAACGAGTCACTTATCAAGAAATCTTTGCTAAAATGATCGAATGACAGACTTCGCTACGAAGTTAACGATACATTTGAATGGAACCCTAGTCATAACGATTCATTTGTCAAGAAATCTTTGCTGAAGTGATCAAGTACATACTTTGCTTCGAACTGAACAATGCACTTGAATTGAATCCTGGTTATAAGAATTCATGTGTCAAGATACATTTGTTAACATGATTGAGTGATAAAGTTTGCTTCGAACTGAGCAATACACTTGAATGGAATCATAGTCATAACGATTCATTTATCAAGAAATCTTTGCTGATGTGATCAAGTACATACTTTGCTTCGAACTGAACGATGTACTTGAATGGAATCCTACTCAGAATGATTCACTTTTCAAGACGTCTCTTGTTGATTTGATCGGGTGGCAAACTTTCCTACGAAGTTAACGATATACTTAGATAGAATTCTACTCAGAACAATTTACTTTTCAAGAAATCGTTGTTGATTTGATTGAGTGGCAGACTTTTCTACAAAGTTAACGATATACTTGAATGGGACCTTTCTAAGAACGATACACTGTTCAAGAAATCGTTGCTGATGTGGTCTAGTGGCAGACTTCGCTTCGAAGTGAGCGATATAATTGAATACAGTCATCTTTAGAATCATTCGTTTACTGTTGTAACTTTGATCATCTGATTTTGTGTTAATTTTGTTTTGAAGTAAATGTCATATTTATACGTTGTATTTGTTAGCAGCAGTCATTTAACACGTACACTGTCACCTATTAGTATGGCGACATAATTCGTGTAGAAATAAGTGATGTACTAGAATAAAAATATAATTAGAATGATTCGTTTCGTCCAAAGGTCTTTTCTGATGTGATTGTGTGACATATTTCACTTCTAAATGAAGGATATACCTGAATTCAGTCCTAGTTATAATTATGTATATGTCCATTGATCTTTACTGATGTTATAGAAGTACACAGTTTGTTTTGAAGTGACTGATATATTTGAACACAGTTATTTTAAAACTGATACATCCATCATGTATCTTCTACCAGTGCATGTAACGTTTAGTATTTTAGTGAAACAGGGTCATATTTGAATCGAATCTTTGTTGAGCTTGAACAACTTTTAGGATTCCTCACAAACGAAACTCCATGTGAATATTGTTTTCTGTCTACCATTATTCTTGAATGGAAGGCTAATAATCGAAATTCGTATATCCAACGACCTTTGCTTACAGAATTGAATGGCATACTTAGCCACGACACGAGCGATATAAATGAATGACACCATTATTATAAGTATTCATTTATCGAGAGACCTTTAGTCATGTCATCACGTGGAAAACTTCGATACGAAATGATCAATACACATGTATAGAACACTGTTTATAACAATTCATTTATCCAGAGATTATTATTGTTGTAATCGAGCGACATCCTTTGCATCGAAGTGAGCAATACACGTAAATAGAGCATTAATACTAGAAATTCAATTTTCAAGAGATCTTTTCTGATGTCATCAAAACATCTCCTTCATTTCCAAGTGTGCGATACATTTGCATGAAACTATAATTATAAGCATTCACTTATCGAAAGGCCTTTGTTGATACAATCGAGTGATATGTTCCGCTATGAAATGAATGATGCAGTTGAATGAAGTCCTTGTTATAGCAATTTATTTTTCGAGAGATCTTAGCTGACATAATCGAGTGACACACCTGTTACGACGTGAGCAAAATACTCCAATAGAACCTTTGTTCTAAAAATTCAATTGTCATCAGATCTTTCTTAACGAGATCAAGTGCCAAACATCGCTTCCAAATGAGCCGTCAGGTTGAATGGAACTCTGATTATAGGAATTCATCTATTCACAGATGTTTCTTGATATCATTGACCAACTTTCTTCACTTGGAAGTGTGCATAAAAATTAAATGAAATCCTTATTATACCAATCCATTTTTCAAGAGATCTCTCTGATTGCGATGTAGTGTGACACTTCGTTAAAAGGTCAGTGAAATCGTTGAATCGAACTCTGGTTATAGCAATTCATTTTCCAGAAACTTCGCCAGTGTGAATCTGTGGCACGTTCTGCTATGAAGTCAGTGAA